CCCTTACCCCTACCTCCCCCTCATCCCCCCTCTCTCTCTCCCCTTCTTCCTCTCCTTCCTCGCTTTCTCCTCTTCCTCTTCATCTCTCCTTTCTCCCTACACCAATCCCCACTCCTGATCTCTCAACTCCTCCTCCTCTCATTCTCTCCCCTCACCTTTCTCCCCTTCCCTCCCCCTCCCCCTCCCCCACTCCCTCCCCTCACCCTCACCAACCCCCATTCCCACCCCCTCGCTCCCACTCCCTCACCACCACCCTGTCCCCCACTCCTTCCCCTCATTACCACCCACCCCTCTCCCCCACTCTCTCCCCCTCCCCATCCTTCCCTCTCTCTCCCTCCCCATCTCCCCTCTCTCCCCCTCCCCATCCCAACTCCTCTCACCCTCCCCACTCCCTCCCCACCCTCCCCCACCCCTCCCCACCCTCCCCCACCCCTCCCCACTCTCCACCCTCCCCTCTCTCCCCACCCCCACCCTCCCTTCCCCCTCACACCCTTCCCACTCCCTTCTCTCCCTCCCCACCCCCTCTCACCCTCACCCTCCCCACTTTCCTCCCTTCTCACTCACCCACCCCACCCCAACCCCTCCTTCCCTCCCCACCTCTCACCCTCTCCCCCTCTCCCCCCCTCTTCTCTCCCTCCACCACAGGCATCACCACCGTGCTGACGATGACCACCATCAGCACGGGCGTCCGCTCCTCCCTGCCGCGCATCTCCTACGTCAAGGCCATCGACATCTACCTCGTGATGTGCTTCGTGTTCGTGTTCGCCGCCCTCCTGGAGTACGCCGCCGTCAACTACACCTACTGGGGGCAGAGGGCGAAGAAGAAGACGAAGAAGATGAAGGAGAGCAACGGACAAAGCAAGCAGCAGCCTCCACACCCGCCGCCGCCGCCCCCGATTAAAGTGGACGGGTTCACGCCCAACGAGGAGATCATCGAGCTCCAGGATATCAGGATGTCGCCCATTCCTTCGATAAGGTGAGGGGGGAAGAGGGGGTGGGAGGAGGTAGGTAGGGGGGAGGGGGAAGGGGGAGGGAGGAGGGGGGGTAGGAGGGGGATGGGGGTAGGGGGAGGAGGGGAGAAGGGAGTGGAGGAGGGGGGTAGGTAGGAGGGGGAAGGGAGGAGGAGGGGGATGGGAGATGGGAGGAGGGGGGTAGGGGGAGGGGCAGGAGGGGAGGGGGTGGAGTTGGTTGGTGGGGATCATCGAGCTCCAGGATATCAGGATGTCGCCCATTCCTTCGATAAGGTGAGGGGGGAAGGGGGAGTGGGAGGAGGTAGGTAGGGGGGAGGAAGGGGGGAGAAGGGGGAAGGGGATGGAGAGGGAGGAGGGGAGGGAGGGGGGGAGAAGGGGGTGGAGGAGGGGGATGGGGAGAAGGGGGAGGAGAAGGGGTAGGAGGGGAGGGGGTGGAAGTATGGGGATGGGGGAGGAAGGGGGAGGGGACGGGGTAGGGGGAGGGAGGATGGGACGGGGTGGAAGTATTGTGGGTAGGGTGGGGGTGAGGTGAGAGGGTGGGGGGTAAAGATGTGAGTATGGGATTCGTGGAGGGGTGGGGGTGGGTAGAGGTGTGGGATTAAAGGGGGGGGGGAAGAGAAACAAGGAGTTAGGGTCAGGTGGGGGGGGGGTTGGGGGGGCAGATGGGGAATGGGTAGAGGAGGTGTCTAGAATTTGGGGGAGAGCTAGATAAATGAATAAAAGACAAATGAGAAAAAATAAACGTAAAAACAAGAGAGCGAAGGGGTGGGATAGAGTGTCGGGGTGGGGGGGGGGTAGTTGGGAAAGGGGGGGGGGAAGAGTGGAGGAGTGGGGGAGGGGGGGCGAGAGGAAGTTGGGAGAGGGGGGGAGTAGGGGGGGGAGGATAGAATGAGGGGTTTAGAGTAAGATCATATTATGCTGAACAGTTTTAGTTGGTTTGAATAAATGTATAAAGTTCCCTGTACACTTCGATTAAAAAAAGGAATTAAAAGCTTTATGGCTGATTTATATATTTTTCTACATTACTCTCCGACCAATGAGATAAAAAAAATAAATAAATAAAAAAAAACAGAATAACATGTTAATCTGACAAAAAAAACTATGAAATGCAGCCATATGTAAGTAATAAACTGATTGACGTTCACCCTATGCATCTGTGTGTGTATGTGTGTGTGTGTGTGTGTGTGTGTGTGTGTGTGTGTGTGTGTGTGTGTGTGTGTGTGTGTGTGTGTGTGTGTGTGTGTGTGTGTGTGTGTGTGTGTGTGTGTGTGTGTTGGTGTGTGTGTGTGTGTGTGTCTGTCTATGTGTGTTTGTTTATTTTTTCTTAACTCCGTAAAGAACTTTTGTTGATTAAGCGATTAGAAAACATATTATATATTATATAGCGAATAGGTGTTTATGCCCGTATTCGAGACAAGTACAGTAATGAGTAAGAATGAGTGTTTATGTTTGAAGGGAAGAACGTGTGAGTGGGGGGGAGGGAGGAGACTAATGTTAATGTGGCAGGAGCGCTGGGAGAGAGAAGAGTA